CCATTTGCATATGTCTTATAACTCATGTTGTATCTTTCATCATAATGATAGTAGAGCTGTAAAAACATCAACAAAATGTATAACATGATTTTACTAATTTAAATAAAAATAAATTAATAATTATTAAAATGTACTAGTAATGTTGCTGTGAATTGAATATAATTTTTACTTAAATAATTTTGCATTAAAATCAAAGAAAATGGTCTATGTGATAACTTTGTATAGGATGTTATCGAAGGAAAAAAAATAGTGACAGCGGTGAGATTCGAACTCACGCCCTTTCGGACCGGTGCCTTAAACCGGCGCCTTAGACCGCTCGGCCACGCTGCCTGTTTTAAGTACATATAGTAAAACAAAGTGTATTGAAAAAAATTCATCTGATTCATTTTTATAAAATAATATACTTAAGATATACCAAAAGTAGTGATCTTCACTGGTAAAACCCAATAGAATTGAGTCAATGAAATTTTTGTTCCAGCCACTTTTGCAGCTAGTGACGATGATTACCCATATACAATTACTTTGCTTGAAAATATTTATTTAAAGTGTTTTTTATTTCAAATAATCTTTTATTAAAAAATTCATTATTTTTATTACAACACCAAAGGTAATGATTTAGAGTGGTCTGATTAATTAATTTTATTGATTAAATAGATCACTTGAAAACTATGTAATATTTTATTCGTAAAATAAAGTAGGTAGAATATAATTATGATACACTTTCGATACAAGAAATTAAAAAATATATGAATATATAGTTGGACATGATGATAAATACTTTTGATGTTGTCAGTGCTAACCGATGATCTTTTAGATTAGCAATGAAAAGAATTCCTCTCGTTTTTTATATCTATCCATTTTTAAACAGTATTTAGTTATTTATTTTAAGAAAATATATGAAACATCATATTGAAATTAACTTTCTACGTCAGATTACAATTATTAAAAATTATTCGCTTGTAGTTCTTCCAGTTCAAAGAATTTGAACTGATTTTAATGTGAATGACATATTTACAATTGATCATCTAAAACTATTTTTTAAAAAATGTCACCAAATAAATTGATTCTACGTAAGTAAATATGATTAATATTTCAAAAATTTTATTAACTTTATTTTGTAATGTTTTTTTTCTGAAAAAAAATTACTTTTGATAGGTTGTGTTTAGAAAAAAAAAGGAGTGACAGCGGTGAGATTCGAACTCACGCCCTTTCGGACCGGTGCCTTAAACCGGCGCCTTAGACCGCTCGGCCACGCTGCCTGTCTCATTTATTAATAAAAACGATGATAATAATAACCAAACGTATTTTTCATTGATACAAATTTAGTATTTATTATTGAAATTCCTTAGATTTGGTTTTATAATTTAAATTTTCATAATATTTCAGAAGAAAGAATGAAATCCAAGAAGTTGTTTTTTTTAATGAACATTATAAACTACGAAATACTATATTAATTAAAATTTGTCACAAAATTGAAAAATAGATAACGAAATTATATTTAATTATTGTTCAATAACTTTGCAGATTAGGTTAAATATTTTACAATAAGATTGATTCCGCAGCAATGCATTATTACGATTATCAACTGCATTAAATTCAGTAACCTTGTTTTTAAAATAAAATCAACAAATTTCGTCCAGCTGTTCAATTCTACAGCAATATCATGTTTTGTTTATTGATTTTCAGTTGCATTTCTATGCACACACGTTGAATGAAACAATGTTCACAACTTATTTATAAAATTTATAAAAATTCAAAGTATTTAGGACTTTTTTTATCTGTTACACATATCAGGCCTCTTTTCTTGGACAAAATCAATAACATCTGTTTTATTTTCACATGCTATAGATTAGACTTCTATTCTATAAGACCTTTTCAGTTCTATCGTATTTATTTATGTTTAGTATTCTACTGTGAACTTTTGTATACAAAAATATATAACCAGTGCTCAAAAATTAACTAAATAAAATGCTGATTGATTTTTTAGCCTTTGTAAAAAGTATGCCGCAAATTTTACTATCTTTGGAAGTGAAACAAATTCCAAGTCTTACTGATTTTCTTTTACAGAGACATACTCAAAAATTTGATCATGATAATTTGAATAGAATGAAACTATTGTTTTTTTCATGTGTGATTTCTATTATGAAAATAAGTAATCGTTCATGATAATTAGTTTTTCTTTCGAAAAAATTAAACATCTCACCATAGAATATTTCGCTACAATATTCTAAAGAATGCATTTAAAGATCATTATCTACAGATTGATTTTATTAATGAACTATTCTATTGTACATAGACAAGAGAATAAAATGTTGTTTCAAAACTATACTCAGAATAAAATCTGTTGTCCTTGAGAATAAAAATAACCTGATACTACATGTAGTTTATGAAATTATTATTGAAATATTGTTGAACTTTTCATCAATCAGTGATTTCAAAACAAATATACGTATCATATTTGAATAAAGATTCATTGATGGACATTTATGTCGACTAATAGTCTGCGATATCATATATAAATTGTTCGAAGTTTTTGCATAGATTGTCACTACAATTCTTTGTATGAAACAAGTTCAGTTCTTTATTCGTATAAATGATATTTAAGTCAATGTTTAAAAAAAAAAGAATCTTTTGTCAAATACTGTACACATTTGAAGATCAATTATCGAAAAACGAATCTATTATTGATAATAAAGAATAATGAAAAAAATTATATAAAAAAAATAGTCTTGTCTAAAAAGAAGCATTTACATTTTAGAATGGTTTAGAAAATTAACCATAGTCTTTGAAAGTTGAGTTTCATTGTTAAGTCCTACTCCCATCTCAAAAAATGATTTTGTACTAGATAAATTCAAATCGCATGAAATTTCTAGAATATGTTAGAACTGTAGTAGAGAGAATACAGTAAAATTTTTAGTCATATAACATAATGTTTTCTGAAGATATTCAATAAACAAGATTGTCAAACAACATATTCGGAAAATCGAAATGCTTTGTGAACCTTTATTCTATATAATTAATATTCTTTTTGTTTAGAAGAGTATGACGGCGCATTTTTTAAAATTCTTAATTTTCAAAGAAAAAAAAGAGTGGAAAGTTCAATGCCTGAATAAAGTCAAAAAAAGGACGCTCTAATTATAAAAGTACTCTCTAATATAATAATAACAAAAAAATTAATGTAATAGAGCGGTGTTGTCATGCTCTACATCTGGACATGCTCTTTCAAGCAAAACAAAACTATATATATAGCATGAAAGCTCACAAAATATTCTTGGTTTTTTGCAATTGAAAAAGTGAAAAACATTTCCCGCTTTTTCTGGGAAAAGCATCTCTTCAAAATAGAATGTGATGGAAATCATCAAAAGCTTTGTCAACAAGCAAATTAGCAAATACAAAGCCATGTCGATTATGAAAGATACAATCTTTGACTATCTTCCCATGCATTTATCTTAATTTCAATAATTCAGATGAAAATTGACTTTTTTTTTTTTGAAAGCATGAAGTGTTAAAATTATCCATTTATTATTGAGATTAACAATAAAACAGTTCTTTTATTTACACAAAAAGTGTTGTAATAAAACTAAAGAAAGTTAGCATATGTTTATCGATAAATGGAAAAACAATCATAAAATATAAATTAATAACGATGCTTTCAAATATTTTTCTATTCGAATGCAATAGCTTCTGTTGACTACTTATTTTAGTTATTACGGAATTAGAAAATATTTTCTAAAAAACATTAATAAACAAATGAAATATTAAGCAGAAGGAAAGTAGTTAAAACATCCAGTATTTCTTCATCAATATCATATTTTTTCAACTCTTACAATTAAAAAACAAAATATTATTTTTCTATCATAAGACTTGCTTCTCATTGAACAATAAAACTAAAAAAGGACTAATTTGATGTTTTTAAAAACAACGAATGTAATTTCTCAAGATATTGAGTGTACAAAAGATGCGTGATGTCACACGAAAATGTTCAATTTTTGAGTATAATGAAAACTCAATATCTTGAGAAAGATACATTCATTTCTGGTGAAACTTTCGAGAAACTCTAATCATAATTCGACATATTGGCAGATGAAATTTCAAATGAAACGTCTTTAGTTCGAATTTTTCCGTCATGATCTGTTATGAAGTTAAAATTCAATAAAACAAGTCTCACTTTTCAAAAATAGACAACAAACAAGAATCGTTCTGGCTTTTTCTTATTCTAATCAAATCTTAAATATGAGCTCAAAAGCAAAGAATCAATTGGAGTACTTTTCTCGTTATTGACAAGCGCAACTGATCTAGAAGGTGAAGTAATAAAAGTCTAAAATGAAGTTATCTATTACTACATATTAGTAAAATAATTCAAAACAAATTATATTTTCCTATCTGTAAATTTTGTTAGTTCTCATACTTAATCAAACACAAAAGTTTCACAAACCCGTTTAATTGCAAGCAAAATAATACATTTACATGTATGAAAATATGAATATTCTTTTTATCTGAGTATCTGTAAGAATGAAATGCAAGCATGATCTTTCATAGTTCACTTCAAAATGTAAATCTTATAAGCGTGTTTTCATGCAAACATTTGTGATATGCACTTTGTTCTGTACTGTTGTCCAATATTTAGAAATAATTGTTCCTAGTATTGAAAAGAATTTCCATACTTCGACATTATATACAACGACGTGAAAAGTATTTTACAAGTCAATATGGTTTTCAAATAGTTTCTTGTAAATACAGATCGATTTTAAATACGTCCCAACATATAACATGATAATTAATTGAAAAGCAACAATAATTATCAGAAGAAAGCAGTCTTTGAGAAAGAGACATTTTTATCATATAACATTTTAAACTAATTAAATGTAGCTTTTATATAAATGACAATTTTCAAGCAAAAGAATAGTGCAGAAGCAGAATATTCTGACGTTTTTCCATTATATCCTTAACAATCGTGTATTATAAGTCTAATCAAATACATTATTATACATTTTTTTTTAATGGCAGAAGTAACATCTCACGAACGAATGAGTCGATATAAGCGACTTTATTATCTTTTAATCAAGATAAATCTTTTCGATGATAAAGAAGAATTATCACTTGTTGATCAATTACTTGCTACAAGAATTTTTCTCTCTTTATTGATCATCATTCTCAGTATTGTTATTGCTTTTACTGCTTTCAGTATTCAAACAAATACTGTTACTATTCAATTACCAAATGAAATTATTTTTGAAAAACTTTCTCTTCAATATCCAAGTACACTTTCATGTCCATGTACACAAAGTTCAATTCGTCATGATCAATTTCTTTTATTAGATTTATCCTATCATCCAATATCTACAAGTCAATTTGTCAATCAAACATTTATTTCATCTTTATATGATTATAATATGAGTGACTATTATCCATTAGATTATCGTATCATGATAGTATCTCATTTTCAATTATTGTCTTTACTTTGTCGAACAATAAAAGAAATGGTATCAGATACTTTGAAAGAATTTGCAGCTAAACAAATAATCACTAATCAAGTTTTATCACATAGTGTATTCAATACTCAAGTAGTAGCACTTGTTGAACAACTAAAATCAACAACTACTGCACATATCAATCATATAAATGATTTTGTTGTGTTTAATATTTTTGAAGATCGAATCTATTCGGCACTACGAACAAACTATTTTGTTCAAAATACACCTGGAGATCCAATTATTAAAAGCATTCCAGTTAGATACAGAACTTTAAATGTAAAATGTTCTTGTATAATAAATAATACTTGTGTACATCAAGCTGGCATTTACAATAGGACAGGAAGTGCAGGTGTAAATACTTCGACTGTTTTTGGAGATTTGACTATTGATCCACCATTATTATTAATAATACCTGGTATTATGGTTGGATGTTTACCATATAATTCATTATTTAGTTCAACATTAGAATGTTTCTATAATCAATCATGTATTGATCAAATTCAAATATTTATCAATGGATTATCATTAGTTACACCACTTTCATTATCTCGTTTCTCTCAAAATACAACAGTGAATGATCTGTTTAATCAATTATTTATTGAATTGTGGAATGAAAAAATTAACTTTACTAATTATTTTCAAGTTTGTTCTCCACAATCATGTACATATTCTTATGATCGACGATTCAATCTACTTTATGTAGTTGTTACTATTATTAGTCTTTTTGGTGGTCTAAAAACAATATTGTATTTCTCTGCACCTTTAATAGTCATGATCATACGACGACTGAGAAAATTGAACAAGGCTCATAATACAAGTAATCAAACATCAACAGAAAATCAAATAGTTAAGCAAAGTGAGTAATATATTTTGTATTATTAGATATTTTCTTCATTTGGAAGTCTTATTTGATAGGTTTAAAATATCGTTTTATTACTTATATAAGAGAAATTTATCAAAAAATACTTAAATTAAATATGTTTCCATTATCATCTGATATCGCTGATGGAATTTATTCAACACGTATTTATATTTTATTATTTATTATTGGAATACTTATTTTAGTTTTCTATTCATCGATCAGTATTCGAATTCGAATACATACTGTGTATCAACCGTCATTGAATAAATATGAGCAATTATATACAGAATATCCATCAACACTTGTATGTCCATGTACTCGTCTTTCTGTATCTTATTCATCAATAATACATATAAGTCCTTATTATCATCAAGTATGTTCAAGTGACTTCATTAAAAATGACGGATGGTTGCTCTATTTTCAAGGATTAACTGGTGCTTTCTACAGTTCTGATTTTCGTCTTAGAGGCTCTAGAATATTTACTATACTTCAAACATTATGTAAATTGTCTAGTGAGACAGTAACAAATGAACTTGCTGTTTTCAATGATTTACAATTTGTGAGTGGTCAAGTATTGACAAAGAATTCATTTGATACACAAACATCTGCACTTATTCAACAATTTCAACAACAAGTATGTGATAAAGAAAACGATTCAAGTTAATTTATTGTTTATTATGAATGAGTCTGATAGATTTCCAATATATGATTTGAATCTAGTATTTGAATTGATGATCCTAGATTTAGTTGATTGGAATTATGTTTCTAGACGTTTTATTTTATATAATTTGGTTTGCAAGAAATTTTCGAAATGATCACTATCAGCTGAAATTCATAAAGTTAGCTTTTATGAAATATTTGAAAAAAAACACAGCAAAAAGCTTCTTTTGAAATCAATATGATTTCGCTGCGGACTGTCATTCTTTACTTACTAAGATCTTTGGTAAATGTTTTGTAGATGTTATCTGTCATATGTGTCCATGGAAAGAAATCCAGAAGTATCAAGCCTGATAAGATTGGATGCAGCCGAATCGAACCATCTTTTCCAGTCCATCAGTTAGGAAAATGATTATTCAGATATTGTCGCACATCAACAGTGAATTGAGAACGAGGTCTATTTTGTTAAAACATGATCGAACGGATCTTGCGTAGTCTTCTAACTTCTGAAGTGAAGAAGGTTCGCAACATTGATAAGTCATTTTTTCCGTTGACAGTATCATCTTCGAAAAAAATTGATCCCACCAACTAATTTTCCGACATGGCACATCATACATTGAGTTTGCTAGATCTCATCAGGGCTTTAATAGTTTCGCATCAGTATCAGATGTTATGTTTGTTGATTAATACCTTTAAATAAAGAGTAGCATCCTTCGAAAAAAATTTCTTGCATATCATTGTCTCCTAGCATTGATATCAATATTCTACACATCTCAACTTTATCTTACAAGTCTTCCTTCATAAAGTTCTTGCACTACCTGTAGGCCTAACATTAGTTTGTAGTTTATTTTCAAAAAACATCATGAATTTTATCGATCTTTTCCGGACTCATTTTTATAATATTGTTACAAAGTTCGTCTACTATAGTCGACGTTTGACGTTCGTTTTCGTTTTATAATAGTGAGTGATTCGAGTTTGATCATTAGTAAAATAATTTGCATTCAAATTTTTGTAGGAACAAACATTCATATCAAAATGTATGGAGTAAAACTATAAAGATCATGCTATCGCATTATAAAAAATATATATCAATTGCTCGAACCAATTAAAACATATTCAGTGTTTTTCACAAAGAACTTTCGGGACATACTATAGAATTGAATCTCAACGAATTATATTATTTTTGAGAAGACCAAATAAATTTTACTTAAAATGGCAAAGTATTTGCGTTTACTTAGGCTTTCTACATAACAACAAATTTATCTTCCTCTGTGTTCTTATGGTGTATTTTCGCTCGATCTTCATACTAAAATCCAGAACAGGCGAATTGATTTTAAAATTTACATCTTCATTGAATTGGAAAGTCCAATAGGAATCATATTTATCATATATTTGCTACGAGTTCAAATAATTTTGCAATAGTTTTGACCTTATTTATATCATTAGTTTCTCGTTTTATGTATATCAAAAGGATTATTGACAAGCAGATTTTACTATTGATATTTTTCTATTTTATTATTAATTTCTTTTGATTTCTTAAGACTTTAGCATCTTTTATCGACCTATTTAAACTCATTCGAGCTTTAATTCAGCTTAATCAATTTATTGCTTACGGTAGTAATAATGCTATATTATTGCAAGCATTGCCCAGCAATAATGCTTCAGTGCGTTTTGCATCAAACAATGACTGGGACTACAACTGTTCATGTGGCACTAGTGTTTCTTGTATACGTTCCGAAGGATTTTATTGTAGAGCAATATCGTGTTTTGTAATTGCAGCTAGACCAAATCAAACGATACCGGGTTTAGTTATAGATTGTCTACTTATTGATTCTTTTCTTGCATCTTCACTTGAATGTTTTTATAATCCATCATGTATTCAAATGCTTATTAAATGGCATTCATTTGACTCATCCAATGTTACAATAGATCCTCGTGTTATGAATGTCATGCCACTCGATCCTATAGTTCATAGTCGTTTTTCTCCTGATACTACATTGAATAAAATTGTTTCACAATTATTTATTGAAGATTGGACAAATTCTACAAATTTTAGTTTCTATTATAATCAATGTGCACCAGATCAATGTACTTATACCTATGAAAAACGTTTTAATAGAGCTTATATTATTGCAACTATACTTGGTATAGTTGGTGGTCTTTCTACTGCACTTCGAATATTGATTCTTCCTATTGTGAAACTACTTCGACGAATATATCATTATTGTCGTAGACGTCAACAACACGTTACACAGGCATCTTTCGTAGAAAGAGGTAAAAATGAATATTATACTATAGAATTTTAGCAAAAATAGTCGAGATATTGAATGAATTGCACATACTTGTATGACTAACAATTACATGAACTAAGATTTTCGACATCATCAGCTTAGTTTATTTGTATAATAATGATTAATAAAGAACAATATTTACCTTTGCTTTTCTTTATATTCTAAGATATTCGTCATAAAATTGTAATTTTTTGTACTCAACTTCAACATTCTATTCGAACAATGAACTTCTATTATAAAGTGCAGAAAACTCATTTACCAGAAGAATCACAAACAACAGATGAAACATTACTTATACAACGTCAACAAATAGCTACTCGTTTTTATATTATTTTAGTTGTCTTAGCATTTGTAATTATAATAACTTTTACTGGATTAAATTCACAGATATATTCTATAACAATAAAATCTCCAACAGAATTCATATTTGAACAATTACAAACTCAATATTCATCATCATTATCATGTCCATGTTCACAAATAGCAATACAATATTCAAAATTTCTTTCTGTCAAACCAATTGCTTATCATCAAATATGTTCAAGTTATTTTATTTCATTTGATTTCATTGAATTACTATGGGGTACTGAATCATCAGACACTTATTATTTGAGTGTAGACATGAAAATACTAAGTACACAATTTCGTCTTTTATCATCACTTTGTTCTTTGGTAAAAAATGTTATTGAACAAAAGATCGAAATATTTTCTTCACAAGAATTACTTAGTGTTGAAATATTAACACGTCATTCTTTTCAAACTCAAATTGATTCTATTATTACTAATTTTATTATTCAAGCACCAACAAGTTTTCGACGAATACATCAATATATTATAGGAATGTTTCATGCTAATCAACTACATAATATATTCTACACAAATTGGAATTTTGCTATATCTACTTCTAAGGATAATTATATTATGTCAACAAGACCAATAACATATAATAATAGTAATGGTTCTTGTTCATGTGCAACTATGTCAACATGTTCAAGTTCTCTTTTGAATTGTTATGGTAAAACAGGAATATTGCCAGGTGAGATGTTTATTTACAACAGTGATAGATGTTCTTTCATGAGTTGTTTCGTTTATAGAATGACTAGTTCTTTGACATAATATGTTTAGATTTGAATGTTGCATAATGATTAACAAAAAAATGATAATTGATTTTTTCAAACTCTGCATTGCTTTATATTGATCTTTTGTAAAATTCTTCATCAATACAAGTGGAATATGTAGGGTGATCACAAAATTATCGGGCTTATTTTATTCAGAAACAACAAAATGGGTTATAATGATAAATATATGTTCTCTTTTTTGAAATAGCGTTCCTTTGCTGGAAGTTTTTGTATAGTTGCTGTTAATTCAGTTTTAGACAGACCTTTCAGACACTGATGTATGATAGAATCTAATGAACTTCGATCATTGTAGAGCTTTCTTTCAAAACTAGAAACAGTACATAATAATCGGAAGCGAGATCTGACGAATTAGGCAGATAGCGAAGTGATTTTTATTTTAAATCGTGAATGATAGAAGAAACAAGACGTAATATATGATAAAATATTTGCATAATATAACTTTGTTATTGTCATATCCATCGGTACAGGCTCTTGAAGAATTATGCCTTTAAAATTCTAGACAAACGATTATGAATACTTAATCATCAAATTTTCTTATTTCAAATATGTTCTTGGTTATAAATCAGCATGTTTCCAGTGTTTTGATAATTGTTCTCTTTCAGATTCATAAAAATGGATAAACGATACATCATCAATTGTAATTCGAAAAAGAAAGTTGTTTCTTTCTATAGAATAAGAAACCAAATTCCCTAATATGCTCAAGCAAACTTTAGTCATATGTAATTGATCACGTAAAATACCTAGCATTGTCTCTGTTAAAATATTTAGAGTGTCTATGGTTTGTTGAATTATGATTCGACGATTTTCGATGATTAGAGCTTCAATAGTTTTAATTGATTCGCTATCCGTTGTAATAATGGATCGTCCACATCTAGGACCATCATCGATATTTAATTGTCTATCTTTAAAATGACGAGTCTATTCAAAAACCGTGGTGCATGATGTAGCTTGATCACCATTAGCTGCCGCCATACATTTATAAATATTGAATGGATATTGGCCTTCCAAAACAAGAAACTTTATTACTGAGCGATGCTCAAGTTTTTGATTTTGCATTAGTATATATAAGATGCTGTAAAAATGATTGCCATATTAGCATACAAATGTTTTTAGATAGAGCACTATATAAGCTGCATATATACAACAATCTAAGTACAGCAGCACTTTTATTGTTTTTTAAAGAGAACCAGTCTGGAAACTTTTTGAAAAATCCTATGTATATTTAAAAATCGTTTTTTCCTTATTATGAAATCCTCTTAATTGATACAAGAGTGCAGTTCTACATTTAATAAAACCTCATCTTGAGCACAATATCAGAAAATCAATATTTTAATAAATTACATGAAATAGAATTGCTCTTTATACTGTCAGCGATCTATAGGACCATCATAGCTATTTTTGATATCATTTTACAGACATTTATATTTAGATACTTTGCCTCGAAACGAATAAGAAAGAATATTAAGTAAAAGAAAATTGAGAGAAAATAAGAGAGTATAATTACGAATATGTATCGTGTATTATTAAATATAATGCCTTGAGATTAGAAAAAAAGATCTGTGAAGCAGTTTCATTTCGTCATCAATATCTATCGTTTGAAAAAATTTGTCCATAAGTAAAAAAAAAAAACATGATAATGCATACTAGAAAATTTTCATCTGTTTACAGGTCTTTTTCTTGGTTGTTTGCCTATCTATGGTTTGCGTCTATCAACACTTGAATGTCTCTACAACTCAACATGTTTACAGAGATTATCTTATTTGGCTAATAGTAAATACCCCATTTCATTAACTCTCGATGTTTCGATACAAACTCGTTTTACTCCAGTATCATCAATATCTGTTGGTACATTAATTGATGAATTATTTATTGAAGCATGGCAAAGTGAAAGTAACTATTCAAAGTATTTTTCAATATGTGCACCATTAACATGTCGATATACTTATATGAAAAGGAACAATGCTCTCTATACATTAACAACATGTCTTGGCTTATATGGTGGATTAACAGTTGGTTTAAAATTTGTTGTATGGCATAGTCTAAATATTTATTCAAAAATACAGCAATGGTTGCGTTTTCGTCGAAGACGCATCGAACCTATAAACCAAAGTTGATAATGTCTGAAAAAAAAAACTATTGACTTATTTATATATGTTGTGCAAAACTTGAATAAATTCATTCGAAATAAGACAGAGTTTTTGAAGAAAAACTTTGTAATCTATTAAAGTGGAGGTGTGGGCATACAGCAACTTGAGTTTTATAAAAAGAAAACGTTTTTTCTTATCAATCAATGAAAGCCGTATTTGAATTGGCATAGTTAATACTGCTATAGGTAACATTACGTTTTTCCAAGTCAGTTTTTCTGCCAATTAACAAATCACGATATATGGTACAATAATAAATTGTGACATCTATCATTACTGATAAGTGTACTGCTGATCATGTAATTAAAGATGCAAATACTCGCCATATCAATAACAGAAACTCCAAGCATTGAGTGAAACTAGAAAATTCTACTATATAGTTTCATTCATTGAAAACTACATCGATAGTGGTATGAACAATCAATATCTGCGTGTTTGCAAGAGGGAAAAAGAACAGTACGTCAAGTAATGAGAAATACTAAAACTATAGTTTGATATAGAAATAATTTTAGACACGACACACTTCCAGCATATCTAAATTGTTACCTTTCAATGAGTCGAGAACATGTTAATTGATTAATTTACACCCAAACAAGTTTTGCAAGACTAATATGAGACTTCACAAGAACTATTTTCGTTTCATTTGTGTTGCATATGACACATCTTTTTCCATTTCTTTAAAAAAAATTTTTTTTCGTTGATACTATGTATTATTTTGACATATTCTACAAGCAATATCAGTTTGATTAAGGAGTTATTCTTTCTTATTTTCTATGAATATATTTATTATATACCGCATACGCTTGTTACAATGTCATAGTTCTTATATTCGTTACTATTCTACTCAAAGATCTTCGCTGTATCTATACTCATCTAACTTGTTGATTGCTATTTTTTTTCAACATCGTGTTCTATATTTATACAATTGAACTCGTGGAACTAATGAAAATGACTTTGTTTCACCATACATAATTGATCTATAACAGTACATTGAACAATCAATAGTTCTGATTTTTCATGTATAACTATTTGCAAATGCTTCGTCAAAACAATGATATAAAAATTGATGATGTCATACTTTATATTGTTTTGCTTTCCTTGAGTAAAACGATAAATATAACGTTATCTGTGCAAGGTATGATGACTATGAGAAAATAATATGTAGATACAGACAAATATTTCGTTAACAAACAAGCAAAATAATAATACACACAACGATGCAAGCATTTATTGTAGTGTATGCTCTTTTCATAAGCGCTTATTGTGTACCTATATTTGATGAACAACTCAATTATCAATGGTCTTTATTTAAACGTGTTCATAAAAAGCAATATGCTTCAATAAACGAAGAAATGATTCGGTAAATTAGAAGATTTTTTCAGATGTATCATATTTTTGTATATGTTATAGTCGAAATATCTGGGAACATAATTTAGCTAAAATTCATCAACATAATCTTGAAGCTGATTTGGGTACTTATAGTTATACACTAGGAATGAATCAATTTGGTGATATGGTAAAGTTTTTCTTTCTCACATGTTACAAAAAAAAAATCTATAAATTTCTTCTTATTTTAATAGACTCATGAAGAATTTAAAAAACAAATGAATGAATTTAAAATATCTGCTAATATGAAAAAAAATAAATTTGATCATAATACATTCTATACTCCGTCTGATGTTGCTGTTCCACGAGCTGTTGGTATGTACTTTTTTTTTGCGTTTGAAACGCATAAATTTGTTTAATGGATTTGGTAGACTGGCGCACAGATGGCTTTGTAACACCAGTTAATAATCAAGGTACATGTGGTTCTTCTTGGGCTTTTGCAGCTACTGGTGCACTCGAAGGTCAACATAAACGTCAAACTAGACAACTAGTTTCACTATCTGCGCAAAATTTAATTGATTGTTCAAGTGATTTTGGTAATGCAGGTTGTAATGGTGGTTTTATAGATTCAGCCTTTCAATATATTAAAGAAAATGGTGGTATTGATATGGAAGAAAGTTATCCATATGAAGCACGTAATGGTCCATGTCGATTTAATCGTACAAATATTGGTGCTAATTCTACTGTAAATAATGAATTTATCAGTAAAATAAAATTTATCTAATTAGAATTTTAATATTATATAGGGTTTTCATGATATTAAATCCATGGATGAAGCTGCTCTTACATATGCTATTGCTATTAGAGGTCCAATTGCTGTTTTTATTGATGCTTCACACTCATCATTTCAATTCTATCGATCAGGTGTTTATGATGAACCAAATTGTTCATCAACATCAGTTGATCATTGTGCTTTAGTTGTTGGTTTTAATGCAACCGATAGTCAACTTTATTATATTGTCAAAAATTCATGGGGAACAACATGGGGTATCGATGGTTACATCTGGATGAGTCGAAATAAGAATAATCAATGTGGAATTGCGACAATGGCTAGTTATCCTGATGTTTATTGACATTGTTTTTATTTTAAGTTGTTCGATATGTAAAATCGCAATAAATCGTTTTAGATAGTTTTTTTTTTGTTCTATTATATCGCTTGATAGTAATTTCTTCATGGTATTATTGAAGACAAAGTTTAAGTTTTTTTTTTTTGTGTTTAGATGATTTAATGGTATTCAAAGTTCTATCATATTTCTTTTCCAAATTTATAATTATAATAGTAATATTTCGATTAGTGGCGTAACCAGGGTAGGGCTCCGCCCAACCACCGCGTGTTCGAGCCCAACCACCGACGTCAACTTCGTCAGCTAAATTCTTCTATCAGCCCTACTACCCCACAGACCTCATGCTCCTGAGCCCAATCACCAGACATTTAAGCGACGCTAAGCCCTACCACCGCCAAAATCCTAGTTACGCCACTAATTTCGATGCCATTCTATATCAGCATCATGATTATCAGACTATTCTTATTTATGCTAATTGAACAACAATGCGATCCTAAAATACAAAAACTATGTTGTTATTTCGCTATAATTATTTTTAATTTTGTATGCATATCTATGAAAAGAATATCAAGTTATTTCTTTATTCTAATCCAACGTTAGAAAGATATTTATTCTTCATGAAGAAGATAACAATTTTTCAACAAGGACTTTAGCTCCAGCAAATGTTTGCCGTTTAAGTGTATCAATAGCAGATGGTACAAGAAGTGATCGAATTTGTTCACATTCATCCGGTTGACCATGTTCAAGCATCCTAAATATAATTGAAAAATTCAAAAATAAAAAACATTGAAAATTAAAGTTTTTTTTTTATTTACATGACAAAAATGAAACAACCACGATTACATAATATCCATGTACGTAATTTATCAGGTGAAATTGATGATAATAATGTTGATACAAGTGCTTGAATAAACAAAACAAAAAAATACACAATGAAAATAAAAGATTGAAATAAAATCTTACTTTCATTATGTTTATTCTTTTTTTGTCTTTTTCCATCAGCTATAATTAAATGTCTTAAAACATTATGAGAAATTTGATGTTCAATAAGATTTGTTTCTGCTTGAGGTTCAACAGATGATGTACTTAATACTATACTTATGGATGTATAAAATGCTGATAGATTATCATCCGCTTAAAAAAAAAAAACAAAAAAAATAAATCAATCAAAATATCTAAAAATCTTACATGAAAGTCTTTCAATCATTTCAGTCATCATAAAACCTCGAAAACCATCTTTTAATGTTGCAAGAATATTATTTGTAAAATATTCCAAAAAATATGATTTGCAATATTCAAATAATTCATTTTGTCGAATTTCAGAATCTTTTTTACTAATAAAAAAAAATGATTTATTTTTTATTAATTATAATTTGTAATAAGAAATATTACCTAGTATTTAATGCATCACTTGTTTTCATTAATTGAACAAGTTCATATTGTAAATGTTTAGTATTACGTGGTGCAATTAAATACATAAGTACTTTTTTACCATGTGAATCATTAATGATTTCATCAAAATTTGACATTAATTCCTATAATACAAAGAATTTTTAAAATCTATCAAAGTTCATCAATATTCAAAAGAATAAATCGTTTTTATACAATATTAAAATTAGATAGTTCTTTTATATTAGCTTGAGAACATATTTAATTCGAAAAAAAAAACAAAAATTTTTGCAATCTCATCAATGTTTCAAGTTCCTATTCAGCTAGAAACCTAGCAATACACCTCATGTCAATGATTTTGACTTACGAAAATAATCGGATTTTATTATAACTGACAAAAAGTTAAATAGAAAACAGAGGAAAAATCCTATTCTTATGTTCTACTATTTATTTATTAAATATTTCATACTTGTAAAATAATTTTTGAAACAAGTTTTGTATCATCAACAATATCAAATATAGTCCATAAAACAGGATAACCTTGTTCTTCTTTTGCAATTTTAACCACAAATGATTTAAAACTTTTTATTAATAATTTTCGATCCTAAAAATTTTCAAATTTAATCATTTAATTTTTATTTATACAAAAACAAAAACTAATGACATACTTTATTTGTTCCATACCATAAACAATAAATTGCGACGCGTGCACCATCACGACTATGAATCATTTTAATTAATTTTTCTTTTATGGCATCGATTAATTCCTAATTACAAAAAAAAAAAATCAATGCATAATAAATTGAATTGTTTTAGAAAAATCTATTTACTTCTCGACCCTTTTCATTCGCATTTCGTATATATTCATGCATAACTCGATGAATAATTGATGTACTCAATAGATCTCTTCATAATAGAAAAATATATTTTAATCAATAATTTGAAGAACAAAATTACTTTTGAATACAAGCCATAAGATTTTCTTGCATATATTCAAGTACATTTGTACGTTGACCAGTAGCTGCTTTATTTGCAAGTAATTCTTCAATATTTTTCACATCAGTTGTCTAACATAAACATAATAAAGAATATATAAATTAAAAAAAATGACATCAAACTTTAAGAACAGCA